CAAAGCCTTCATACAGAAATGGGCACCGCTGGTCCAGCGCAGGAATCTCAGGAGTTCCTCACCCAAGGACTCGCTCACAGCAGAGTCAACCCTGCGTTGCGCAGTTCGCAACGGCACGTTGAGAGATCCTCAACGCACGCTGTATGGGCGGAGACACAGACGGCTCGAGCATGCGAGTGTGAATGTTCGCGCGAGAGAACGTGTCTAATCGGGCGAAACTGCGCAACGTGGCCGTTGAGAAACTGCGCAACGCAGGGTTGACTCTGCTCACAGTCGCCAATACCATCGAATGAGTAGTCCTTCATAATAAAGTTCAACTTTCCCCAGGCTGTACTGGGAACCGGGAAAAAATAGATCGAGGCTAGATGCCAATGGTAGGTGGAAGGGCGCTGAGGCGAAAAGGGCTCAAAATATCCATAAAAATGTACCCAGATGGTCAGGGGGTGCATGGAGTAGAGCGAAGCTAGAATCAAAAAATAGCATTATGATTGAAGTTCGGAGCCCGAAAAACGTAGATAAAGGCTGTCGAATCTCAGCATAGACGGATATTTGTAAGCTGCTCACCCTGTCGAGACATCGATGTTGATGAACACATATTCGCCTGAAGTCGCCATGCCGAGTTCGTGAGCGGCGAGCATGATTTCGCGTACGGTGTCCGGTGAAGCACATAGTATGATCACTGAAAAATTCAATCAATCATCGATTTTCTCTCAATGTAATTGTTTCGGAAGAAAATACTTTTCTAGGTAATTTTAAATTTGCAGATAGAACAGTTTTATTCTTCAATTGAGGCTTTTAATTTATTTTGACAGCTGAACAGAGGCGACTTAAAGGCAGTGGTCACAATGATTGAATGGCGTTCCATTTTGATGACGTCATTCAACGTCATTGGCAGAAGCGTCTTAAAAGGCGGTCCCAACCACGCCCCCTAGCGTGTCAAGAGGTTCAGTCCATCAATGACGTTCAGTGACGTGTTCAAATCTGCATCGCCCTACTATCATCATGAACACTACCTTTAAAGGCAAAGTTCGGGCTCATACCCACTTAATGAGCCTTTGCGCTAAAAACTTTGGCACGCTCCACCTATTGAGACACGCTCCGCCCACCGCTCGATATCTTGTCTGCGTCGCTAACTTGATCTGCTATGCTCTCTCTACTCGTACTTCTCTAGCGCTCTCCGCGCTCACATTATCTCTCATCTCCCTGCCGCCTTTTGAACTTCTCCGCAGCGTAGAGCAAAAGGCTCGTATTTCCTGTGCATTTCACGATTTTTTTCCTTTTTTCTCCACTGGCGGTCCACTTCCTACCCCTACTTTCACATTTGAGTGGAATTACCTCATAATTTAATCCTGAATCTTGCCTTTAAGCAATTTCAATAAATCAGGCGGCGTTCAGGGGTAATTGGAAGAGCTAGTGCGGTTCATAAAAATTTTGCACCGGCCGAATAACTTCCAAAACGCACGCTTCTTCCTCTACCCGATGTGTGAGAAGACATAAAGCATATTTATGTGCTATCAATAAAGAAACAGGCGAGCCCTTTGCAAGGAATAAAATGTTTTAGTATGTAATAAACATATAAATTGATCAATCAAAGTATGGTCTCCTGAAACTAGCAAATATTTGCTAACGTTTCGATAATGAACCTTTGCCGTCTTGGTAGACGCGTGGATTACGGAAGCAATAAATCGGAGGAAGGATTCTCCAATCATTTCGGTGTACGTGCCAGCCGCACAATTGTTTTTCTACATGCTTGCGCCAGAAGAATGGCTAGTTCAAAGAGGAAAGGTCAAGAAGATAAGGAGGCGTTGAGCAGGACCTCCCTATAAGCTGCATAAATTTTTCAGACATGGTGTGAGTAGGGGGGTTGAATTCATGTTGGCCACGTTTTGTTGATAACTGTCAGCATTTCGAAGAGCCTAACGCGCAAGAAAAAATGACAACAGCCAATTTTCTGCTGAGCGCGCTGCGTGAACGCAAAAAAAAGCCCATTCCCGGCGTAGAACAATTTAGACAATGGCGGGGGGGGGGGGCCCCTGTGGATAGCTTGTAAAAACTTACCCCGGAAAACAGCCTTGGTGCGCGGATAAACCCGGAAATTGCTTCCATACGGAGTCTGTCCCCTTTCCAAAGACAGTCCTGAAACTGAGTTTTTCCCGTGATATTGACGCGATGCTCCGTAGTGGTCCCCCCGAGCCACATTGCACCCAAATTTATTACAACTACTGGTAGATTGTGCAGCAATTTGGTCCCCCGGCGGTTCGTCAGGCCGCCTTCTTGATCCTCCCCACTCTTCTGCCAAACGCCTTTACGCCCTTGTTGCGTGATGTGCCCGTATTTTTTTCCCCGGTTGCACGGGATGCCGCCTTTTTCTCTCTTTTTTTTTTTTTTTTTTTTTTTTTTTTTTTTTTTTTTTTTTTTTTTTTTTTTTTTTTTTTTTTTTTTTTTTTTTTTTTTTTTTTTTTTTTTTTTTTTTTTTTTTTTTTTTTTTTTTTTTTTTTTTTTTTTTTTTTTTTTTTTTTTTTCCCCTTTCCCTTTTCTTTTTCCAACACGACCTCCAAGCGCGATGGCACCTTGTTGAAGGCTTACATACTCGAAACGGGCTTCACGGACCACTAGCAAATTGCTAGTTTGAAAGAAAAATTCCCTCCCCGACATGAGTGACATCGCTGGTAGCTTCGAGTGCCGAATGGCCCAATTTGATTTCGTGAAGCGTAACGACGCGGAAATTGGGCTCATCCATTGAATTCGACGTCACACAGAAAGACAAAGAATAGGTGAAAAACTGAAAGAATTCAAAACCCTGGTAATTCAAAAGGTCGCGCCACAGTTAAAAGGGCAAATAAGGTTCAAGGGATTGGGGACCGGGTCCAGTACAATTTCGAAGACCAAATGCGATTTGCGTAGGGAACTGGTCAGCAGTTTGCACGGAAACCAAGACTTAAGACATCAGTTCGGCATTTAGCATAGTATTAACCCTGCACTACTGCAGGGGGTAACTGCTTATAGTGAAGCACGAACTATTCCTTGAATCCAATTTTTTGCTGTTTTGTTTACTTGTTTATTTACTTGCTGAACTTAAAGAGCGTCATAAGATACTGTAGCGAAAGGGAACTACGAGGAGGTTTTGATACTGGGAGACCATTTTCAACGTTAGTCTCGGCAGGGATCGAACGCCTGTGCTTTCAGAGGCGTGCATGAACCTATTCTCTTAACCACTCGGCTATTCCTCCCACAAAAGAGAGCCCAAGGTCGAAAAAATAGTCAATATCAAAGGAAAAAAAGGAAACAATGAGTCCACCTCAGTTTCATCGACAACTGGTTTAGAAATCTTCATAGAAACATATTTACTGCTTCGCAATCCCAAAGTCCAGGTTAATTATGGTAAACAAAACAAAAACAGTGTAAATAGGGTAGCATATAGTAAAAAAGGAAGTATATATTCAGGGATCAGAGACCTCTAAGAACGAAAGGCTAAACTATCAAAATCCTTGAGAATGCAGAGTTTTCTGAAGCCTTCCCTGAACGTGTAACCGAAAAGCTCTCTAATGGTTTGAGGGCCTCTGAAAATCCTCCCCCCCCCAAGAAATACCCAAAAAGAATGAAAGAAACGGCTAGCTTTTAAGGTAAATCAAGCTAATAGGTGGGTGCTCCGATGGAGGAACTGAAAAGCGCAACAGCCGATCAGTGGGAGCGGGGGTTCGATCCCCTTGGCGCTAAGTATTTTGCCCATAATCCCACATCCGCGTGGAATGTGCAGCTCACTCTGTTTTTCTCATCCTCATGTCTTTCATTCTTATTTCTCATGACAGCTGACAGAATACATATAATCCTGCCTTGAGAGAAGACTACTGCGACGTGGACTACCGTTTCCTTCGCCCCCCCCCCCGTGGTTGTGCTGTGACAGGGCAGAGTTGCAAAATTGATTGTGTTATGGTCGGTTTCCATTCCATCGTGCCCTGGACAAGTGAAAACATCGTGTAATTTCTATCGAACGCTGCACTTATCGAGTTTTTGTCCTACATGCCTGATCTGGCGCCATTTAGCCCATCCAGGAAGCCTCGCCAGTCTGGATGACACCCTGGCTACAGTTGATTCCCGGCCATGTATGCGCGAGCAGCGCCTGTCCTTTTTTCAGTCTACAGATAGCATATGGACACCCGAGAAGTAATGATGAACGTCCACCTCATAGCCCAACCTCACCAGCGCCCGTAAAAGGAGAGACGTTATAACGCTTAGTAAGGATGTTGTGGTATAAAATAATCAGCCAAACTTCATCACTTAAAGCCTCTGGGAAGCTAGTCTCGAACCGTTATCTAATTACCTTTAGCATAAACGCGGTTAAGTCATCGCCGGAATCAAAAAGTTCCAAGCTATAAAGCAACCTTATCGGGCCATATGTGGAAAGAATCATGTTTCTGCGAATTCTCGCTGTCCTTTCAGCAGTTCCTTAAAGGCAGTGGACACGATAGTTGGAGGGTGGAGCGATTTTGATGACGTCACTGCAACGTCATTGGTGGAAAGGCTTTAGGAGGTGGTCTCACCCGCGACCAGAGGTTTTGTCCACCAATGGCGATCAATGACGTCATCATAGCCGCACCGCCCTCCGCCACCGTGAACACTGCCTTAGGAGAGTCGCTCATATTTTTGCATCAGAAAAACATCCTATCGCAGAAAAGCCTACTCCCACCCATCGTCCTTGGCCAGTTTTCATCTTGCCATTGAACCCTCCTAAGACCACTCCACGATTTATTGACTAAACTACCAATTTTGAAGCCTTCTACGTCTAATTATAGAGAGGGAGCTCGTGTGGGCTTCGGCTGCATTAGGTGATGATCGAATTCACTGCGCACATCATCGTAAATAATTGAATAGTGAAATTGATGAATAAATAAATAGCGGCTCTGCCTATTCAAGTCCAATCCGGCTCAATAAATGTGAAAAGCATGAAGCATTCAGCGTTGATCAACCCTTTTGGCCTTGCGCCACGCATTTTACTTCCATTCAGGATCGTGGTGTATTTGAATGCGATGTGGCCTATACAATGACTTGCGGGGGCCAGCCGATGTACAAGTCAGTGTTTTTATCCTCCCAGACAAGTCTGGTACCAATTAACCGACCCCGAGTGGATGAAAGGCTTGGTTGCCCCGGACCGCCTACGCTTCAGTGTTCTGGGCTCGACTTTTTTGCCCCTCCAATCACTTTATGAAGTACTGAATTGCATAACGATGGCGTAAAGGCTCCCATACCCAAAACAGAACATCTAGAGCTGTAAATTCTCATACTGAGCGGGCTATACATAGCAGGGGATGATAGGGGTGACTGTGCTAAGCCTTGCAGTTGAGCCTCACGTGCTGATCGCTGAGTTTGGCCTTCATCAGCGCCTTTGTGCAAACGTCGGTCAGCTTATGCGAAACAATAGCGCCATCGAAACAATAACAAGCTGTGAGCGAGAAAATGCGCCGTCTCAGTCGCCTCGTAATTGCTTCCGAAGCAAAATGTCAACAGGAAGTCGATAAACAACTCAGTTGAGCAGAACTGTCACATTATTTTTTCTACGGTGAACGAGAATTCACACTGGCAAATCCCAGGTAAATTAGCTCGAATTGGCTCCATGCCAGGGAAATAATGAGGGAGGCTCGTCAACGATGTTTCCAAGAATTTCAGAAAACCATGGGAAAA